TAAGAATTCCTGTGATCTATATATACACATACTTGCTTAATCACTTAGTAAATCATTTTTATGACCCAAAATGATCGTTCTGCTAATAGCAAAAAGATAAGGTATGTTTTTCCTGGGATGTTCTGTTAGTTGTTTTTGTAAGTATAAGCCTAAACTGAAAAGTTACCAGAAGTAAAATCTAGCAAATTTTAATGCATGTTTCATAGAGGAGGAATAGTGCCTTGTCTGGCTTTCAGAAGCAAATTGGATGACTGCTAAAAAAAGACCATGAGAAAATCTATTGTCCTGTTTGAAGGGGGTGAGGGTGTACTGCTTTTTTCCCTTACAAAACCACTCAAATGCTTGTATTTTCTGGTTTATTTTATAGGAGAGTGGCAAGAAACTTGAAGAAAACATTTATTATTTTGGAACTACAGTCAGAGGCCTGCTAACTAGGTTTGGCAAGGTAACTATTATTTTGTCTGTTTGTTACTGAATAGTTTCTCCTCAAGGCCTCACTGGAATCTGGAGTGTGTGGCCAGAGCCAGGACTTCCTTCACACCACACATTTTCACTGAATGTGAGAAAACACACTGAAATTCTGTACTCAATGTAATGGACAATTTATGTTTTCAAAACCAAAACCAAAGCACAGGCAATCTCAGTGAATTAGTTGTTTTCTTCTACTTCTGTAAGCCAAATCCTGCTGCAGCAACCATTTGAAGTCCTTTGCTGTGAGCAGCCACTGGAACCCAATTCCTGTTCCCAAGTGAGGAGCTGCCCCAGCAGGTTGTGGCTTTGTGCTGTTCATCCCCGTTGTGCAGCAAACCAATCAATCCTTATGCCATGCACAGTGCTGGAGTTCCATCAGGAGAGGCTGGATGTGGAATACCCTGGATTTCCCATGTTGTGGCAGTTAATCTGATGTGTTCTGGGAATTCTGACCAGGCTCTGCCACACTGCACTTCACTCAGCACATATTTTTAACAGTATCTTTGATACCTAAATTTCAGTGATTTTTGGCATTTAGCAGAGTGGTCTAGGATGCAGCAGTTCTGCTCTTGGCTGCAGCCAGAAAGGGTAATAGTTAATCCAAAACTTTCTAACTGAGGGTAGAACCTGCTTATGCTAAATAAATATGGACCTAAACACAAAGTGTGAACAATATAACGCTCGGTTAAAGCTTTAAATGGAGCTAATAATAATTTTTTACTCTTGTAGACAATCGTGGAGGAGCAGCTGGTGCTGAAGAGGGTGGCAGACATCGTGATTAACCTGTATGCCATGACAGCTGCCATCTCCAGGGCCAGCCGCTCCATCAGCATCGGCCTGCGCAACCACGACCACGAGGTGAGTCCCAGGGGCAGCCATTCCCATTCCCATTCCTGTTCCCTGGCTCTGCTCCTTGGAGCACCACACACTGCATTTGTAAAGGATCCACTGCAAACGCTGCCTTAAAGCCAACGGTGCCCCAGGGTGTTGCCAAACCCGTTGGTTCCAGGGTGCAGTAACCAGTTGCCTCTCAGGGCTCTGAGCGTTGAGTTCCACACTCTCAATGTGTTTAAAATGCTTCTTTAACACACACATAGACATTTATAAACTAATTCCAGATTTGCACGTTCTGTTAAACCTGCTCATGCCCTGCAGTTCTTCCCAAACTCTTTCCATATAATCCTGAATACGAACATAATCACAACACTGTTGTGTCAATACATTTACTGACAGTAAAGTGATGATACAGGAGCTCATTTCAAGTTTCATGGTAACAGTTATGCTACAGGACAAATTAACCTTTGGTTTTGGCCTTGAGACTTCATTCTGTGTGTGTGAGCCCTGTTGTGTTTTGATTCCCAATCACTCTTTAGCCAATTTTGAGTTGCCCTTGACCCTCAGCAGCTCTAGGGTCCGAGGGACTGTACATGACTGGTGTGCAGGGCTCCATTATCAAGGAAAAAATGACTTTCAGAAGTTTAAAGTACTGTATTTTTACTGCATTGTTTTGTTTGTGAAATTCCTTCACTAGTTTTCAACGCAGTTTTCCTCTTTTCCCAGGTGCTTCTCACAAATATCTTCTGCACAGAAGCATATTTCAAGAATAATTATGCTATGGCTCAATTAGAAAAATGTAAGTTCTCTAAAACAATTTCTACGTTCTTATGTCTTTCACAGGCTGTGGTCAAAAGAACGTGGGTTTGATGTGACCAACAGAATAGTTTTGCTCTGCCTTTCATAAAGACGAGGAACAGAGCTGGAACCTGTTGAGAAGAGTCTCTTCATTCCATAGCTAAAGCAAACGGCTGGGATTCCTTTATTGAGGAATATAAAGTCTATCACTAGCAAATACTCCTGTAAAGGAACTGATAGAAATTAGGGATTTGGTCTGTTTGGGAATCCCCAACCAGTCAGGCACTGGCTCTGTGAAACTCAGTCTGCAATAATCAGTCTTTTTCAGACGAGAGTGTTAAATTCCTTCCTGGCACTCAGGTGCAGATACATTGTGTTTGTATTCCAACACTTTTTGAAAGAAATGTAGAACAGCTGTTTATGGTAGTTTAGTTGACTTTCCTTCTGTTTCTCTGCAGATGCAGATGAAGACCTGGATGATTCCATTAAAAAAGCTGCAAAGCAAATCCTGGAGAAGAGATCCTACATCTGCTCCCACCCCCTGGACAGGACCTTCTGACCACCTCCCTGCCAGCAAATACAGAGGAATGTAAATCAGGGAGGAATTTTCTGCAGCTCAAGTATTTAATACCTTAATAACTGTTACTTCATGAGTTTACCAAATGTAACTGTACAAAATAACACTTATAAACACAACTTCATAGCAAGAGGATAAATAAAGAGATTTTGCTTAAAGCTTAGGTTGCTTTATTAGATGTGTGTATGTCTCTTTCCCTTGTCTCTGAGGGCGGTTTCATTGTGTTTTACCTTAAATTTTATCAGAATTTCTCTGTGTTCTGTTCTTGACCTTGGTCATACACCTTACACTGACTCCTTTGCTATGCTTTGGCTTTTGAAAACAATAAATAGGGGGTTTATTTAAATACAAGCTGTCGTTGTTGTCAGAAAAGCCTCACCAGAGAGTAGATTTTAATGAGAAATATACAAGTTTTAATTTTAATATTAAGGCCAGTTTTTCCCCTACCTGCCCCCTCTTGCTAACCCCAGACAGAATTCAGCCACCTCTGAACTGTCGCTGCAGAGTCGGTTTTATCCAGTGACACATTTCAACAGTATTTGCCAATAACTGTGGCCACATTTCCCTCAAAAGGCCGTTGTTTGGGGTGACAGGTGCACGTTGCCTGCTGTTCCCTGGGTTTGTGCTCCCTGAGTGGCTGTGTCCAGACTGCTGTCACTGCCCAGTGTCACCCTGGAGGGTGTCCCTGCTGGGTGAGGTTGGGGCTGTGTCCTGCTCTTGCAGATTGTCCTGTTTTAAACAAATAGATGTTTCTTGCAGAGTAACCTGGAGTGACAAAGGCCTCCTGGACTAAGCTGTTTCTCTTTACCTACAGATCCCTAATAAACAGAGTTGCAATTTTTCAAGTAAAGATGTTTATTGAACACCACAATCTGTAAAATCACTGACTACTTGTCAGTGGGGTCACCCCTTTCATCATTCCCTGTGACTGTGTCCCTTTGTTCCTGGTGCTCAGACCACTTGGGAGCAGTGTGGTTGGAATAAGGAATTTAGGTCTCAAAGTGCTCTTGCACTGAACAACGGATGGGTGCTCTGGCAAACTCAATCCCACCCTCAGTAGTTGTGAATCAGCTGGCAAAGGAGTGTGTTCTGTCAGTTCTGGGTTCCTTAGAGCTGCAGCACCATGCTGGGGAAAAGGGGTGTATGAGCTTTGGAAAAGGGGGCAGCCAGCTCAGGGGTGTATAAGGACATCATTAGGTCATGTAGAAAGAAAATTAGTTGAAAGCTCAGTTAGAACTTAATCTGGCCTGTGCAAAAGATAATAAAAAATAGTTTTATAAATACATTAATAACAAAAGGAGAGCCAAGGAAAGCCTTCTTTGGTTATTGGACATGACAGGGAGAGGGCATAGAGTCACCAAAGGGGAGGAAAACGCTGAGGTCCTTCCTGCCTTCTTTGCCTCGGTCTTTAACTGTGAGACGACATCAGGTTTCTTGATACTTGTAACTATTTCTTGTTGATGGAAGGCTGAACTGAGTAGGAAGGAGGAAACATTTTGTCCTGAAACAAATCATGATCAGTTATCTGAAACCGTGAAGCTCATGAGAGATTCCCATGGGCCACTTCTCGAGCTTGTCCAGGTCCCTCTGGATGTCCCTGTCCTTCAGGAGTGTCACCTGCACCCTCAGCTCAGTGTCATCCGCAAAGGTGCTGAGGGTGCCCTTGATCCCTTCATGTGTCATTAATGGAGATATGACATGACACTGGTCCCGGTACAGACCCCTGAGGGACACCACTGATGACCACTGGCACTCTGAGCTGTTGACCACTACCCATCCAACCAACTCCTCATCCACCAAACAGAGCCTCCATCAGCTCTGTGGCTCTCCAGTTGAGGGAGAAGGATGCTGAGTGGAGGGGTTGTGTCAAAGGCTTTAGAGAAGCCCAGAGAGGTGGCATCCAGAGCTCTTCTCTTGTCCACTGGTGCGGTCACTCCATCAGAGAAGGCCCCTGGGTTGGTCGGGCAGCACATACCCGCTGTGTGCTCGCTTGAGGTTTCCTTTTGTATGTCAGATAATTTAAGAAGTTTGGGTTTTTTTCCCCTTTTTTATCAATAGACTTTGTTCTTTGAGGACCCTGAGAGAAAGCAGACCCTTAAATTTGACATGAAGAGGAAATGGTAAGGGTCCATCTTTCCCATAAAACAAATGTGCCTCGTTAGCCCTGGGACCCCCCAAGGTGCTAAACTGGGCTCCAGGCTGGAAGCTGCCTGCAGGAGGGCATCTGCCTGGAGCCAGAAATCCCTCACTCCTCAGCCTCAGAAGCTGTGGCTGACAGTGCCCGAGGAGGGCAGAACCCCTGGGCTGTGGCTGCCTGAGGGAGGCTGAGCTCTCGCTGCCCGTGAGCCGGTGCCGGGAACACAGGGCAGAGCCGCGAGCTCAGCGTGGGTGGGACTGTCCCAGCCCCGGGACAGAGCTGCCAGCAGGACCTGCTCCCTCCCAGGGGTGGGTCCATCCCCCACAAACGCATCCCGGCCATGAGGTCACGGCAGGGCTGTGAGGTCACAGAGCCCCGTGGTCCCACAGCACCACAATGACCCACCACCACTCAGTCCCTGACTGCAACTGTTGCGGCAGCAGCGGCGGCGGCAGCGGTGTCAGATTTGGTGGCGTTTGGACAGTGATTACTGGACAGTGATTACTGGACAGAGATTGTACAACAGCGGTGTCAGGACAGCGGTGTCAGGACAGCGGTGTCAGGACAGCGGAGGCAGCAGTAGCTGCCGGACGGTGTGAGGGCCAGGGGCCATGGCCCTTGCTCTCCGCCTCCTCCTCCTCCTCCTCCTGGCAGTGGCCCTGCACGCCAGGGCTGCCCAGGCTGCTCCGGTGCCAGCGCGGGGAGCAGGTGAGCCGGCGGCCTGGGGCACCTTTCCCGGGCCAGCGGGCTCTTCTCCCCGGGAAGCGTCGGGGATGGTTTTCCCCAGGGCTTTAGCCAGGGTTTCCTGGGTGCGGGAGAGAGCCCCGAGGGGCCCTTGGCTGCTCCAGCCGCTCCCCCAGGAATGTTGCACAGGGCCTGGAAAGACTGTGGAGAGCAGCCAGGAGCCAGCCCAGAGCTGCCCAGGCCCCTCTGCAGCTCTGGCCATGTCCACTGACATCTGGCCCCCACGGTGCTCCCCGAGCCCCTGTGCAGTGCCACAGTTCTCTGAGGCAGGAGGGGATCCCAGCATGCAATGGAAACAGTTCCCATCTCTGTTGGCTTCTAGATCGTGACTTGGATTATCTGGAAGATGATGTTTTGAAGTTCTTCTGGCCTCCTGGAGGTAAGTTCTCAACTTGAAAACTAGTCCCTGTCAATGTGGCAAGAGCTCATTCTCAAGGTTGCTGGATTGTGACAATCTTGGCCGGATCCATTCTCAGGCCCAAGAGGGATCCCACAGGATCCCTGTCTGGGGGAGCTTTTAATCTTCTTTCCATGGCAATGCCAGTTGCTCCCTGCGTGGCCGCTGTGCAGACACAGAGAAGGGCAGAGAGGGAAGGGGCCGGGCCCAGGGCTGTGCCCGGGGGGCTGTGCCTGGCGCGGCTCCTTTGCCGGCCCCTCGGAGCCGGAGGTGCTCCCGCTGCGGCTGCCAAGCCATGGCCCTGGCTGGGGCTGAGTTTGGAGCTGGGGCAGCTCCAGGGAGTCCCTGGTGCCCTGACAGCTCTGCGTGGGGCTCCTTTGGTCCCAGCAAGGGGCCACTGCAGGCCCGTGGGAGCTCTGCCCCTGCTCCTGAGGGGAGGGCAGAGATGAGGCCCTGCAGTGAAGTGTCTCTGGCTGTTGAGTTACAGGACTGTCCGCAGACAGGACTTTTGCAGCTCCTGAGCTGGATGATGCACCTGAGCCCAGCTCACATGGCATGGGTGAGTAGTCTGTCCCTGCTGACCTCACAGGCTCAGCTCCAGTTTTCTCTGATCCATTCATGTCAATGCAACTACTTCCCATTCAGGTCCTCCAACAGGCAAGAACCAACTTCCAGGAAAAAAAAACTCCCCAGAGCCATTTGAACTTCTGGACAAGATGCTGAGTGAACTGGAACAACGGCGAGGTGGGTCTGTTTCCTCAGCCTGAGCCATGAGACTCATCAGCCGGGGGCTTTAGATCCACGTGTGGACAGGCAGTGGCTGCACAGCGGGAAGGGATCCATCGCAGCCTCGCTGCCCCGCTGCTGCTTTCCCGCCTTGCGGGGCTGTTTCCCCGCCTGGCCTGGCTGCAGCTTCTCCCCGGCCTCTGCAGGAAGGCCTTGAGCATCCCCTGACCCTGTGCCCCAAATGCACCACGGGCCCTGCAGACCAGGAGATCCCCTGCAATTGCCTGGTCTCCCGGCAGCTCCGGTGTGGCGGCTGTTTGGAGGAGGGAGTGCCCTGACCCAGCCCCAAAAGCCCGGGGGTTTCCCTGGACCTTTTCCATGTCTTTTATAAGCGTTGCCTCCTGAAGATGCCACCTCCCTGATGAGGATCAGCTCCATCTGATCCAGCTGTCCCTCTTGCTTTCTCAAGAGCAGGACCAAGGGGCTCTGTGGCAGGCGGCATTCCCTGAAGGAAGCAGTGGCTCCGTGCCAGGCTCTGTTGAGGCAAGGGAGGTGATGCCAGTCATTCTCTGGGCTGAGCCGTGCTGAGGCTTCAGCTGCCGTGTTTGCTGTTGGCAGTGCTGGCCCAGCCCGGAGCAGACCGTCACAGCACAAATGAATTATCCCGAGCAGGCTCAGGGGATTCGGGTCCTGAGCAGTCCTGCTGGGGGCCCTAAGGGAGGGACACATCCCGAAATCTGGGAGCAGCTGCAAGGAGTGCCCATGCTGGAAAAAGGGCAGATGGGGAGAGCAAGGCTCCAGTGTCTTTTGAGAGATCCTGACTCTGTCCCCTTGAAAACAGTTCCCATCTGTGTTTGCTTCTAGGTGAGGGTACTGGGAATACTTCTCCAGCACCTTTGACAGAAAATTCTTTAGAGCCTTCAGGGATTCCTGCAGGTAAGTTCTCAATGTCCCCTCAAAGAATAATGAATGAAAATGTAGCAAGAGCCAGGTTCCAGAATCTTCTCTGGCTGTTGAGTTACAGGGGTGTCCACAGGGAAGACTTTTCCAACTTCTGGGCTGGGTCCTCCGAGCAAAGCCGGCTCACCTCGTAGGGGTGAGTAGCCTGTCCCTGCTGACCTCACTGGCTGAGCTCCAGTTTTCTGTATTCACTTCAAGTGAAATCAAACTGCTTTTCCTTAAGGTCCTCCAAAAGGCAAGAACCAACCTCCAGGAAAAAAGAAATCTCAGGACTCATCTGAAGGTATGAGAAATAGGCTGAGTGAACTGCAGGGAGGGCACAGTGGGTTTCTTTCCCTCAGCCTGAGCCATGAGCCTCATCAGCCGGGGGCTTTAGATCCACGTGTGGACAGGCAGTGGCTGCACAGCGGGAAGGGATCCATCGCAGCCTCGCTGCCCCGCTGCTGCTTTCCCGCCTTGCGGGGCTGTTTCCCCGCCTGGCCTGGCTGCAGCTTCTCCCCGGCCTCTGCAGGAAGGCCTTGAGCATCCCCTGACCCTGTGCCCCAAATGCACCACGGGCCCTGCAGACCAGGAGATCCCCTGCAACTGCCTGGTCTCCCGGCAGCTCCGGTGTGGCGGCTGTTTGGAGGAGGGAGTGCCCTGACCCAGCCCCAAAAGCCCGGGGGTTTCCCTGGACCTTTTCCACGTCTTTTATAAGCGTTGCCTCCTGAAGATGCCACCTCCCTGGTGGGGAACGGTTCCATCTGATTCCCTCTTGCTTTCTCTAGACATGGACCAAGAGATGGCTCTGTGGAAGGCAGCAGCTCCTGAAGGAGGCAGTGACTCTTTGCCAGAGTCCCCTGAAGGAAGGAAGGCAATGCCAGCCACTGGCAAGCCGGGTAAGCCGAAAGCGTGACGGGTTGGAGGCATCAGGAGCACGTTCTGCAGCCCCTGGGAAACGGGACTCTGGCCCCAAGGTCCCTCCCGCTGCAGCTGCTCCCGGAGCTGGCCCTGAGTCTGGAGAGGCCCAAGGCACCAGAGCAGCCCAGAGCGGGATCCCTCCCGCCAGCCAAGGGCCGGAGCGCTCCCTGGCTCCCACCCTGGGCAGGGGCTCACGTGTCTCCTGAGAGGGCCTGACTCTGTCCCCTTGGGCTGTGGGAGCTGTCCTGGGGCAGGGAGGGATGGGGCTGGCACTGCCTGCTGCAGGGATGGGTTGTGTGCGTGTCCCTCAAAGGAGCGACTGCTCAAGCAGCTCCGCTCCCCCCGGGCTCTCCTCCCGGCCTTCTGGATTTGCTTTGGTGGGACAGCCTGTCCCCAGGGCTGGGAGCCTCCAGGCACCCACACTGAGGGAAACAGAGAACGTCCTGGCTGTGTCCAACGTGCTGTCAGCTTAGCAGGGGTGCCCAGGACGGGCTAACGCTCCAAATTGCTCCCGCAGAAGTGGTTGGCAAGGCAGGAACACAGGACCACAATCCCCAGACCGTCAGCAGGGTTCTGTGCCCCCCGGACTATCGCAAGCGCTGCATGATTGCCATGCTGGCCACGCTGCTCATTGTGCCAGTGCTCCTGTTCTGCTGCAGTTTTGTGGTGCGCAAGGTGTACAAGAACAGAGAGTAAGTCACTGATCTCCCTCCACTCTGCTCCCTTCAGAGGCTGCTCAGAGCATTTGTGGCCTGTCTCGTGGTCAGGACTGTCCTGCAGAGCTCCAGTATCAAATGCCTTGCTTTGTTAATGAAATTCATTGACTAGTTTTTAGCTCAGTTTTACTCTTTTCCCAGGGTCCTCATCAAGCTCATGATGGTATAGTTATGCCATGGCTCAATAGAAAAATGTAAGTATTATAAAATGAAATATTTTTTATACTGTTTTGTCTTTCACAGACTGTAATCAAAAATAGGTGGGTTTGACGTGACCAACAGAATAGTTTTGCTCTGCTTTTAATTCAAATGAGGAACAGAGCTGGAACCTGTTGAGAAGGTCTCTTTCTCTTGCTTTCATAGCAAACTGCTGGGATTCTTTTATTCCATCTCTAGGAAGGAATATAAAATCTGTCAGTAGCAAATACTCCTGTAAAGTAACTGATAGAAATTAGGGATTTGGTCCCTTTGCTCCCTAACCCCCGAGTTCCTTAGAGCTGCAGCTCCACATTATTTTGCAGACAGAGACCAGCTATGGATGACAGTCGTGTGTCTGGCCTGGTAAAACACCTGGTTCACATGTGAGCTAATGGATCATCCTGGCACATGTTGACACTCCAAAGGCTAAAGTCTGACCTCGTCCTGCATGATTTATCTCCAGTGTGAGATGATGAAGGATTGTACTTCTGCAAGAACTCAGTGGTTAAATGACACAAAGGAGTATCTGAGACAGCTTAATGACACAGCAGCAAAATAAAGGCCAGAATTAATCTCCCACAATAGAGTACAAAAAGCAATTAAACCACTTTACATTGTTCTGTTACAAGTTTCCTGTTTGTGAACGATTCACTTTCTGAGATAGTTTAATTTAGACAGTTCAGACATCATGAAACTTCTTCACATTTCTAGCAGGCAAACTGGAAAGGCAGGAATTTGGATTTCTGTTGTTTTAGACTAGGAATGCTGCAGCCTCCATTCTCCAGCCAGGCAAATGGCTGTCAGAGTCTGGCTCTGTGGGCAGCTCAGTCTGTGGACATGTAGCTACACAGTGAATCCAGGGTCCACGTTTACCAGTGGCAAAACTAATTCCTTAATGCTGAAGTTTGGACTTGAAAGGGAGACTTCCCATGAATGCCAACTTGTCTGATAGAATCTGTTTGTTTGTTTGGGATACACCCCAAGAATTTGATTTCCCAACCTAGTGCTCCATGATTATACTGTGTGCACACTGCACCTCTTGGACTGAGGTGGGGCCACTTTTGCTGTGACAGCTGGGTTGTCTTATCTGAAACCTGCACCTTGGGGGTTTCCAGGCTCCTTAATGCTCTCTGTGGTGCCAGGGGGGACCTTCTTGCTGCAGCTCAAGCTGTGCCATCAGGACCTGGTGCAAAGCCCCTGTGATGCCCTTCCTCCTTCATAGGAGGGCACCTGAACTGGTGTCATGGGGCTGGTTGTCCAACACTGCGGGGCTGGGGCAGGGCAGGACAAGGAAAGGGCAGGTGCTCAGCCAGCCAGGCTTTAAAAAAAATCAGAAATGAGGAATATGTGTCTATATGGGAAGTTTTAGGTGCCCTTGAGCTTCAAGGAGAGTTAATTTCTGAATGCAGGGATTCTCCAAAACACCACAAGACAATGGAAGCTGTGGCACCCTCATGTGCTGTTACACACAGGTGCCCCAGAGCACTCACACATGGGGAACTGCAGGGCACACACAGCTAAAGCCCCATTGCTCAGACCCACAGGGGCTTGCAGGCCTGCATCTGAGAGCACTGCAAAACCCAAAACAACCTTCATGTGCAGCGTTTGTGCTTTAGAACCTTTAGGATACAAATCACACTGATCCGACTGTTAAGTGTAAAAAACCCCCAAAACCAAACTCCAACCCAACCAAAAACCCCAACTGCCAGGTCAGTCAGCAGAGACAACGCTCCAGCTTGGACATGTCCACAGGAATGTCATACAGCCCTCAAGGCTGTCCAACTGGGACACTGTCCCAGTTATCAGCTGGGCAGAAGGAGATGCACAGCTGGACCCCAGGGCACCGGGATGGACAGTGGGGCCATGGGAAGGGGCTTGGTCCCCCTGAGGAACAGTCCCAGCAGTGCCCAGACCTGCTTGGATGATGGAACCTTTCATCAGACAGCCAGGAGTCTGAGTCAGGAAGACAGGGAGGAAAATTACACTGCTTGTGGAAGAAAACCCTCAGGCACCAGCTCTGAGCTGCTACAGCAAAGATTATTTAAAGAAACAAAACTGAGGTGAAGGAGGCAGCAACCCAAGAGAGACAAATGGGCAGAGGCACAAGAGCACGAGAAAGAGCAGATAACGGGGGGCCATGGCACCAGCCAGGGGGGCTGAGACACTGTGCTCAGCACTCTGCAAATAATCTTACATAAAAACAGGCAGGAAATAAATGATCATGATGATCACGATCATCTGCATGTTCAATATATCCCCTGTGTTCAAGGTCTGTGTTCCTTCATCAAGGCACATCATCCGGGCAGGATGTTTGCTTTCTTTTCCTGTCACTGCAGTGGAAAAGGAGGCCAGCTTGGAAAATATTAAAAGCAAGAACGGAAAATACAGCAGTTTTTTTTTAATATGCTGTTTGTTTAGTTTGCTGTTTGTTTGGTGGAGGTTTTTTTATCGTTTAAAGCAGACCCTTGGACATCAATGCACGTAACAACTCCTTTGTAAAGGGCTGTCTTTGCAAAAGAGGAGCCAATTTTGTGAGGCAAGACAGAAACATCTTCCCCTGGGCTACAGCTGGGAGGCTTGAAAGCGTGTTCAAGAAATGGGGTGTGACAGAGTCTGATTACCACAACTGGAATGTCATGAAGTGCAAGATGCAAGTTATCTAATAAAGTAATCAGATTATTTACACGCCATCCAGAAAAAAGGGCTGTGCATTGGAGTTACAGGAAATTGGAATTACAGGCAAAGAGTGCACGATGGACAAGTTTCATAGTGTGAACAGCCACATCAAACCAGAAACAGTGAGCACAAAGGGCCACACCAAGGAGGCCCAGCTTGCTGCTGAGGGCCCATTTCATATGAGAACTGGCACTCAGAATATTAAATAAATTAAAAATAAAAGGGGGGGAGGTAGCCTCAAAGGTTTAACTCTGCTTTTGTCACCAACATGCTCATTGTTCCTGTGTTTATTTTTCTAGAGAATTTGTAGTCAGCAGAGCTTCAGTCCCTTTGATCAAGTCACTCTTAAAAGCAGCTCAGGGCTGGGGTCAGTCATTGAGATGCAGCACTGACTGGGGTCCAGCCAACAAAAGAACATTAGGTGCAGGCCACCCATGCAGCTTTCCATAGTGATGAGCACAAAGCCTTTAGTGCTGCAGACTGGGG